GATGCTGCTTGGCCTGCTGTGTTCATCCAGCCCTGCACCTTGTTGTCTCGGATTCTCCAGCATCTGCAGTTCCTACTATCTCTGATTCGATTCTAGCCTTGTAATAGGGTCCTCTTTTAAGTTGTGTAGCTAAAAGAGAACAAAGTTTGTCTGCTTCTTGGCCATCATCACTGCAGCTCTCCACTGGTTGCTAAGGTACGTTAACAACGGCTTCAAGACTCTACCCTATTGCGCTTCTGTACTGCCACCTAGCAAGTAATTTAAAACTTGTTGAGAACCTGCAAAACAGCAAATGAAAATTTGGTGAGGTGATGTATTAGACCTGCCAAACCAAAGGGGAGACAGGGAATATACTGACGTTCTCACCGGGTTAGTAATCCAGAGGCCAGGGGCTAGGATGCTAGCGACACTGGTTCAAATATCACCATGGCAACTGGGTGGAATTTAAGTTGAATTAATAGAATCTGGAATTGAAAATGATAACAAATGCATCAGCAGCGCTAATTCCTTGAGGAGAAGAAATCTGCCATCCTTACTTGGTCTGGCCTACATGTCCGTTCAAATCTTCACTAACATTGGAATGTATGTAAGAATTTTGTTGGGATAAAAGGTATGAATCTTTCTGGTGTTCATAATGAGAGCTTTCTAGTTTTTCTTGTTTAGTGTAATATGGTTCCTCTTTGTATTTCATTATAATAAATTGTTTTTTTTTGTTCAAAGTACATTGAACATTTTCACAAGAATCTGCCAGACACTGACCTCCACAGTAAACAAAAGGAAAACTAAACTTCTGTCCTTCCCAAGCTACGTCTCACTCTGGGATCTGACTTGTTTCCATTAACTGGGATCATAACACTTTACCTTTTCTCCTTTGCTCTTTCCTTCAGGGAAATGACCAGTACCTTTGCTCGACTATGCCAGCAGGTAGATGTTACTGAGAAAAACTTAGAAGAGGCAATATCCAGCCTTAACAAAAAGATTGAGCTCCTAGAGTCTACACAAAACCGATCAAAGCTGCTGAGGTGATGTATTGTTCATACTTTCCTTGTACTACTTAATTTCTGAACTGATATTTTATTGTGAAACAAGTTTCAGCTCATGCACGTTTATCCCATTATCTCAACTTTTCATCCAATTTTTAGTATAAACTATTATAATCTTCCTACTTTGCTAAAAACCCATCTGATCCAGAAAAGACAGGATTAACATACTAAAGCCTGTAGTAAATCACAATTAATAATTGGTTGATCTTGATTGACATGGAACGTGCAAGCATATGTGACACATGCACATGAAAATGTAATGACTGGTGCCACATTTGTCATCTCCTCCATGTGCCTGAACCATATTGCAAATAATGTTTTCTCCCTTGTACTTGCTGATTTTCTTATTCTTCCATTACCAAAACTAGGACAAGGTCCTGTATCATTATATAAATGTAGGTTCGATTTACAGTTCTTTTGCATTTTAGATATATTTTATCTTTAAATTGAATCAATCTGAGATTTTTTTTTAATACCCAGAAATTTAGGAAGGACAATTGATGAATCTCCAGTGAAATATCCACACTCCAGTGATTGTTGTTGTTGTGAACATCTGAGAAACAAATTGAAAATCAGTTTTCTTCATATCTGGATATGGACATTGCTGGCTAGACCAGCATTTATCACTCTTTGTAGACCTTGACAAGATGGCAGTGAACTGCCTACTTAAAGTGCTGTAATTTGTGTGGTTTGTATACACCCACAGTGCTTCTAGAAAGGGAACTCCATGATTCTGTTCCAGAAACAACTAAATATTTCAAATCAGAGGACGATGTGTGGCTTAGATGAGAACTTGCAAGTGCTGGTGTTCCCATGCAGCTTCTGCCTTGTCCTTCTAGATGTGGTAGAGCTTATGGGTCTGCAAGATGCTGTCAAAGGAGGATTGGTGAATTCTGCAGTTCATCTTGTATATATGGTTCTGACTATGGGCACTGTACACTGGACATGAAATGTTTTATTATTTGATATTGTACAATCATCAGCAAAAATCGCTACTTCTGACCTTCTGATAGAGTGAAGGTCATTGAAGAAGCAGCTGAAGATGTTTGGACCTAGGGCACTATGCTCAGGTACTTAGACAGTGATATCCTGTGACTGAGATGATTGACCTCAAACAACCACAGCAATCATACTTTTATACTAGGTTTGATTCCAAGCAGAGGAAAGTTTTCTCCCTAATTCTCTTTGACTCTAGTTTGCAAAGGTTCCTTGATGCTGTACTTTGGTGAATGCTGCAGGTAGTCTCACTTCACTTCTGGAGTTCAGCTATTTTATCCATTTTTGAACCAAAGCTGTCATGAGGTCAGGAGCTGAGTGGCTCTGGCAGAATCCAAGATGAGAGTACACGGGTTATTGTTGAGAAGGTGCACCTTGATAGAACTGTTGATGATGCTGTCCATCAGTTTGCTGATGAGGTGGTAATTGGTTGCGTTGGATTTGTCCTTTCTGTGGATAGGACCTGGCAAATTTTCACATAAGTTAGATGGCAGTGTCTGTGCTGTACTGGAATAGCTTAATTAGTATTGTGGCTAGTTCTGGAGCACAAGTCTACTGTACTTCTACCAAAATATTGGCAGGGCCTACAGCCTTTGCCATTATCAATTTACAGCTGAATATGAAAGGACTGCAGAACGTTAATCTGATATGTTGGTTATGGGATTGCTTACTCTGTCTCTTGTCTACTATTTTCATTGTTTGGCGTACACGTAGCCCTGTGTTGCAGCTTTGCATGGTTTACACCTGGTTTTAGGTAAGCATGGTGCTGTCCTTGTCATGCTCTCCTGCACTCTCTATTGATTGGCTAAAAGAAATGTTTCAACAGAAGGAAACAATTTCCCAATTCATTTTGGTATCAGATGGGATATCCCAACTGTTAAGCTCTCAGATGAGAAGGGATGAACTGGCTCCCCTTGGTTGGTTCCAACAAGATTAATTTTAAAAGGATCCTATCCCTTGTGGATATCATTCTCCCAGGCCCATGTTTTAAAACATGTTTTATGTTTTAAAAAGATCCAATTCAATCAGGCTTTCCTAAATTAACAAAGACAGTTAATTAATTACTGCGCTTGAAAAGAAATGCTAATGCAACACACACCCCACACACCCTACCCCCACACCCCAAAACAGGAGATAAGTCCAAAAAGTTAAAACCTTTTTTAAAAACCTATTGGATTTGTGGGAATATATAAAATGTGTATACAGTCTGAGATCTATTCTGCAAGGGGTTGTAGTCCTAAGAAATCACAGTGGAGTCTGTTTGAAGTTTCTTTGACACTTCGACTTATATTCCAATATCCTGTTTTTGTAGACAGCCCCATAATTTAAATCCACAGCTACTTTTGGCCGTATCAGCCCTCTTTTGTAAAACAAATTTTTGAAATACAGTAAGGCTTAGATGAGCTGCAATCAGAGTACTCCAGCTAGTTTCTTACTGCATCAAAAAAACAAAGTATTCAAAAGTTGTAGCATCTACCAAAGGCATTTACCAAAACAATACCAATAATCACAATTTGCTGACACCCACTGTTGCATAAAATCTCATTATGAGAACATGACACTGGAACTTGATACATTTGCTTCCTTTTCGGTGAAATCTCCATTTATAGTTAAGATGACAGTTTGCACCAGAAACAGAACCAACCTCTCAAAATTGCTGGATATCCAATGGCAATTGCTAAAACTTTGATGTACCAACAAGAATTTATGTTAGTGATCTGACGAGTAACAAATACAGCCTGAGTTTTGACAGTGTTGAATTTCATCAAAACCAATGGCAATTAGGATTCTCAAGTAAAAAGTTGTCATCTTCAATGAGAGGGTGTCATTGAAGCTCTTCCAGTTAAACTTGTAATAATTCAAAACAAATACTTAAAGAAGCTTAAGGCAATAATTCCATTTATTTCTGTGAAGTAAATAATCTGTTAGTTAACTGCATAGATCTGGTCCCTGTTTGCAGTGCTTGAACCTCCCTCTCAAGCATCCATGTAATGACTCTTAAAGTTGCAAACATGAAACCCTAATCTGTCTTGGAATTGCAAAACATTTTGTCCAAAGTATTGATTGTAAAATCTTTATGGACTTTTCAGAATTATGAATGTCCTAATGGGCACTCCACACCCTGAAACATTTTTTCCATTAATTTACAGTCGGTAAGGAATATGAATCTTGGCAAGATGATTTTAGACCGGCATACTGAATTCAAAGGCATTTAATATTAGACTTGCTCAGAGGTTACACAACACAAAATACCCCTTTCTCTGAATCTCTCAAATTCCAAGTAACGTTCAGCTCCATTTATCAAGCATACATGATCCTTGTAAAGGCTATGCACTGGGGCTTGGGCCAATACATAAACTACTTGTACAAATTCCTGAAAAGCTTGAATGCACAGAATCCAGAAAGATATTCTGGAATTTCTGTATCGTACCTGAAGTGGTGTTTTCAGTCTTACAAGTCCAACACAATATCATGATTTTATTTGTGTAAACACACAGTATCACATTTTTTTGAGGCATGGGGAGCTAGCTGTTGATGGTGAATTAATTTTAATTTAATGTAATCATAACCTGACAGTGTGACAGATGTGCTTGACCTTGTCTGCAACATGAAGGTAGAAGACCATGTTCAGCACATTATAATCACAATGGCAACATTTTCATGTATGTTCAAAGCATATAATTTCTCTCAAAACTTAAGGGGTAGTCAAAAGAATGAGGATTTTGGCATCTAGGTAATTACCTGTTCCATCGACTGGAATTCCTTGTCTTGACTGGATATAACTACTTTTGTATAAAGCTACTTGCATATTTTTCCTGACTGGTACAATTCCCAATCTATTAGTGTCCTTTTCCAAAGCCACCAGTATTTCACTTGCCAACCTAGCCCCAATTTTTTTTTTAAAGTGTCAATGACTCCAAGCTAGATTTAATCACATTTATCCCATCTTCTAAAATCATCTTGTTAATCATTTTCCTTTAGAAAATGAACCATGAATTAGGTGTTGACATTTTGTAAACACATACTTACACATTCTATCAATATTTTGTTACAAGTCTAACAAACTGTCAGTAAGATTATGGCATTGACAGTTTGTGTTGCTGAGACTTATCCAAAATAAGAGTTTAAAATAGATTCTTATTTGGAACCTTTTCATCTGAAACCTCTTGGTTATTTATGTTCTGATGGTTATTTTTTCATGAAAATTGGTAGATTGTCAAATATTATTCAGTGTTCAGGGTGGACCTGTTGTAATTTTATATCAATAAGCAAAAGTGTGGATAGTTTAAATTTACCATTGGCAGTCATGTGTGTAGCTTCTGAGGCCCTAAGATTTGGAATTCTCTTCCTAAATTTCTTCTTTCTATCTCTTTCCTCCTTTTAAGATGCACCTGAAAGGCCATCTCTTAGGACAAATGACTAAAATCTTGGTCAAAGATCTCTAATTTTGCTTAATAGTATTCCAGTAATTCAGAAGAGGTTGTATTATGGTAATGGCACTTGTTTATTTTAGTAATTTCACATTGTAGGCAATTTGTATTTTTATTTGTTTTACGATAGAGCCAGTAGATAGTATCATAAACTTGATTAATATAAAAAAGATTTTTTTAACTTATTTTAATTTTTTTTTTGTTGCAGAAACAAAGCAACATGGCTGGAAAATGAACTGGACATATTTACAAAGCAGTACCTGCAGCCAAACCAGTGAAAATTTGCTAAACTTAAAATCTAAATGTGTCATATAACCTCACTGATGGGGATTGTCACCAGTGTTGCCACAGTGCTGTTTGAAAAATACAAACTTCCAGTCCCTTTTTATGTACAATAATGTTTTTCCAGGATCCTTTTTCAATCGTCCAGAAATCTAACCAGGTATAGGAAAAGACACACACTTCATTTAAATTCGCCTACTTCAAAATAAGGCATTGATGACTGGGATTATCCATATCTTAATAGATGTATTTAATATGGTGAGAAAATTTAAATATTCAGCATCATAATTTAGCGAAGGATGTAAATGCCACTGTTACAAATACTGAGGAATGTAATTGATAAGCATTGTTTGATATCAAATTGTGACAATTATTTCAGTTGAAAATTAATTTCTTAAGAACTTGGGTCATTAAAGAAAGGCAATTAGCTATTTGCAGTGCACCTAGGAAGGGAATAAAAGAAATATTGTTACTCTATGCGGTATTGTATGATAAAATGTACATTTCTTGCTCATTGTCTAGACACATGACTCATGCTTTGGTGAGCTGTATAGGCATCTGCCATTGTGGATATACTATCTAATCAAAACACACAAACCTTTAGTCACAAAAATTCTGACCTGTGTGAACCTTAATTTCTCACTTATGCAAATTTACATGTAATTATTTTATGATTTTACAAGCTTTTCCTTCTGCTAAAATTAGTACTTGTCTTGAGAGAGTGTCCTTCCATTAAACTGGGTTCATATAAACATTTTTGATACACGTAAAAAGATGTTGCTGAAAAGAGTGTTGGCAAAGCTTTATATTTGTGGTTATGACAACTGTAAGAATGCCAAATTGCAAATGGACACAGTGATTATCCTGCAGGAGAAAAGGTTGCTTATTGGTTGGCAAGTTGACTCTGACTAGGGGTGGAATTCCCATGAAAGAACAATGGGCTTCCCAAGCTCCTGCATAATTCTAAAATTGCATAGGCTTATACATTTTTTAGTTGCATTGAGTGAGTTCCTCCACATGAATGGGTTTTGTTGCTATCAAGTGCAATTGAACTACATTGCAAGCTAAACTGTTTACTTTCAATTAGTTATTACTGTAGTTGATAATATGTTCTGGTTTGTTCAGCAAGTGCTGCCCAATAGGATCAGAGTGAATAGACAGTTTGTTTTGGAAGCACAGGTAGGCAGTGCTCAAACAATTATGAACACCAAAGGAACATGCTAGCAGAGTATATCCAAAATATCTACTCTTAGGTGTGATTCTGCTAAACAATCCAGAATGCATTAACTGCTACAGAATCAATTTAAGATAATCATTCAAACTGATAAGGTTGGCTCATTGACACTGGTAGAAGTGAGATGCATTGTTCTGCAGAGACAATTTTTTGCAAACAAAAACATTTGAGCCATGGATTACCTATGAGTTATGTAGATAGATGGGATGTTCTTGCCAGTCAATCAGTGCACTTCTCTCCTGCACTATGAATTGTCATGACATTTGAAAATTTACATTCTTTGATCAGTACAAGACAAAAAGCTTCAGCAACGCCTTTCTCTTTCCAGCAATAAATAGATGTCCAGACCTAAACCAAGTACAGTTTGTGTGAATGAAGCTTCATATAATCAATCATGTACCTAGTGACTGGATATTATTGCATAAGGCAAAGTCATAAAGGGAGCTAAGCAATGGGGATTAAACTAAATCCTATTTAATTGGTATTGACATCATGGAAACTTAAATGTCCAGAATATTATTGTTTGAGGGATTCCCAAGATGCTGCAAATGTCTTGTCCTAATTTTGTAAATATGTTAATGTAATTTGTATGTGAGATAAAAGGAAATTTAACTATCAAATACTGGAAAGAACTTTTTGAATGCATTTGCCATCTATTTTCATGAAGACCACCTAGAGTCAGAGTATCATTCTCATTAAGAATTTTTCATTGAAACTTTAGATGATGTTCAGTCAAAGCTGGCCTACAGCCTAATACTAGAGCCTAAATTTCACATATACAGCGTTGCCACTTCAGATTACAAATCAAATTCCAACATTACCCATAGATTAACAGAAGCAATATTTTTGATGTGACAGTTTAAATAATTTAGAAATGTCCTTTAAAAGTTCAATTCTTTAGTCTTCGTTAATAGCATCACAATCAGCATAAATGTGAATCATAAAATGTTGACTGCTTATTGCAGAATTGGCATGTACTAGGTATCAGACCAGTTTACTGGACAGACTAAAGAATAAGGTTAAAGACAATAACAGCAGTGAGTTATTGATTCCAAATATTTACATTTAGTAAAGTAGTCATTCTATTAACTTTGTCTTGTATGGGTTCTTAATATTTTTGAGGTTTACCTGCACATATTTAAAGCTTATTCATAAGACTTCTTTTGCATCTAAAAATAAAGCCACTAAATATAGCCCAGATATTTTGAGTGATGTCTGATCAGCAAACAACTGATTAAACTGAATTGTGCCAGTAATTTCCATGGAGGTTACTCCAACCTTAGCATGCAGAAATGGTGTAAATGGATTTTTATACCATGAATTTCCATGCAATACACTGAAAATTCTATCTTTTTTTTGATTAAGAACTGTAAACCTTAAAATTTGATCTTAGCACTGTGAAATATTTACACAGTATATCCTGCCCTTAAAATAATTAACCAAGATTATTTTCATTTAAAGGGTTTCACATTGATTTATGTTAAATGGGAGAGAGATGAATGATGTTTACTGGACAGACATTAATGAACACATGTTTGTACATTGTTAGATTTGATCTTAAATTTTCTAACTCTTTGGACTGTTTTCCAAATTTCTTGTCTCTGTTCCCTGTTACTAGATTTATCCATTGTGAAGGATTAACCAAATTTATGATCTTTGAGCATGTATATTTAAAGCAACTGTACAATTTAAATGTACAAATAAATTATTTGAGTTACTTTGTCTCAATTTGTCATCAGAGGCAGGAGTGGATTTTTCACATGTACAATATAAGGTTCTGGTATATTTGATTTCCAAGGAGTTAAGGACTGCTTCCAGGAAACCAGGCACATAATAATTGCAAATAATTCCTGCTGGCTTGGTGGAATGGAGGTGAGAAAATATTATTTGGAAGGGGGTGTGAAACTAAGAATGGGAGAGATGTGTCTTTCTGAAAAGGCTAAGTAACAGGCTTGGTGTCATTCATGTATTTATGTGAACACTGCATAAAAGTATGGAAAACCCTAACATCTGAAATTGATGCGTCACACATAAGATTGACTTATTTATAATGACTAAGCTTCGACAGCCTTCTGAAGTAAAATATACCAAAGATGCATGACTCTCAGTGAAAAAGTTCCTCTTCATCTCAAACATAAATGGCTTGCCCTTTATTTAGACTTTTATCCCCCAATTTTATTCTCTTTTTCCCCACCACTTTCAAACATAAAGGGGAAGCATATCAACAAAATTGATAGGGTTATTTTGTTGAGATTTGAATTGAACTTCAGTATCAAAAGGAGATTGGAACAGAATGTTAAATTACATCAGTTAAACACATCAGCTTCATAGGGGAGGATTCTGCCCATCCCTGACATAATGGAACATTCTCTGGAGATACAAATTTAACCAGGTTGAGTTTAGAACACTTTATATATGAATTTTAAATTCTGGTAATAGCATTTTCTTTATGTCTGATTTATTATAAAGTGCAAGCTAGTAATGCCTAAAGTGTTTAGTCTGCACAGACTCAACTTCACGGCAAGGTGGTCTTGGAAAGCATGCAGGGTGCTAAAAGCAAACAGTACAAAATTATAAATTAATCAAATTTGACTATCAGCTTGTTTAGTACAGTTTAACTAGATTGACCATGGAACATTGATTGACATCGTATATGTCTGTGTGCGTGTGATTTGATGTTAACCTATTTGCTGCTTTGCTTTGGTTTAACATTTCAGCGGGAGCCCTTAACTTTCCTCTAGAAGATTTAATGGGAAGACTTGCATTAAAATATTCTCTTTTTTGTAGTTTAATAAAAAGGCTGAACAAAGTAGGTATTCGTCACCAGTCCAAAAAAAACTCAAAGTGGATCTTCTTTATCAATGGTAAGTTACTATAGTGCTGCTGCTGCAAAGCCGGATGGGTATATGAATAGGAACACTTTAGAGGGCTAGAAATGGGACTAGGTCAGATTGCGATGTCTGCTCGGCATGGACAAGTTGAACTGAAGGGTCTATTTCCGTGTTGTACAATTCTATGACCGTGTAACTGGCTAACTGCATTTTGGAGCTGGAGTTGCAGATAGACTGTGGAACATCCACAATGACAAGATTACTGCGGACAGCACATTGAATAATGTGGTCACACCTCTGCTAAATTGTGCACAAACGGAACGGGTTTGGGTTACGACCAGGCAGAGTAGAGAAAGGCAGGCAGTTTAGGAGACCCCGTGACCATTCTCCTGCAAAACATCTTTTTTTGATTCTGTTGGAGCGGATGGTGGGATGGCCTCTGAGGAAAACAGCAACAGCCAAATTCTTTGCAGCACAGTTGGCTCTGCTGCACCAGACTGGAAGAATAAATGTAGGATGGCTGGTAGGAATTGGGGATTGAATTGTAAGGGGAACAGTTTTTTGTGACCACAAATGAAACTCCAGGATAGTAGGTTGCCTTCCAGCTGCCAGGTCAAGGATTTCTTGGAGTAGTTACAGGACATTCTGGAGTGGGAGTGTGAACAGCCAGTGGTTGTGGTACACACTGGTACCAATGACACACTTTTTTTTAAAAAAAAAAAAGGCCCTAAAAGCAGAATTATAGGGAGTTCAGAAGCAAGTTGAAGTGTAAGTCTTCAAAAGTTGTAATCTCAGAATTGCTACCAGTGCCACAAGCAAGTCAGAGTAGAAATAGCAGGATATATCAAATGAATGTGTGGCTGGAGAGATGGTGTAAGGGGAAGGGTTTCAGATTCATGGGGAATTGGAACCAGTTCCGGGGAGGTGGGTCTAGAACAAGCTGAATGGGTTGCTCCTTGGCAGGACTAGAACAGATGTCCGAGGGAGACTATCTGCCAGTGCATTTGGGAAAAATTTGAACTAAAATGGCAGGGGATAGGAACCGATACAGGGAGATGGTTGAAAGGAAAATGAGGGCAAAAACCAAAAGAAATAATCAGAAATAAGAAGTGATGGGTGAAGAATTCATGCCATAATAATGTGAACACTTGAGAAGATGAGACTTAAGACTACGTGGAGCATTTACAATAGAGTGAATGAATTAGTCTCACAAATAGATGTAAATAGTTGGGATTACAGAGATATGCTGAGGGTGACAAGGGATGGGAACTGAATATCCAGCAGCATTCAGTTTTTAGGAAGTACAGATAAAAAGGAAAAGAGGTGGGGTAGCATTGCTGGCTAGAGAGATACTAACAATTGCGAGGAAGGCAGTCAGCTCTGGTGAAATGGAGTCTGTATGGGTAGAGGTTACAGCTATCAAGGGCAGAAAACATCCGAACAAGGAACAAGAACTGGCGATTCAGACCTTCAAGTCTCCAATAAAATCATGGCAAATCTGATTTTAACCTCAATTCTACACTCCTGAATTATCTGTGATAATTTATGTATCTATCTCTGCTTTAAAAATATTTAAAGATTCAGCATCTACTGCCTTTTGTGGAAAAGAATTCCAAAGACTCCCAATCCTCAAAGAGAAAATGTTTCCTCATCTTTGTTTCAAACAGGTGCCTCCTTATTTTTAAACTATGACCCTCCAGTTCTATACTTTCCCACGAGGAAACAGACGTCACATCTGGATTTTTGAGACAAGCGTAAGTGAGTATATTGATCAGGGAATTTGGTGCAGAGAGGAAGAGGTGCTTTTTGGCTCACAGTTTGTAAGGCTTTATTAGGACAAATTGAAGACAATGGTCAGAGGCCCAGCACAATACGAAGTGACATTGTGGGAAAATGTATGTTCATTGGTCAGTAAGAGTTGCTAATTTGACTATTATAGGGGTTACTTTCAGATTGAAGGGAAATAAGAGAAATATTTACAATTTACAAACAGGGAAAAAGTAGGGTTTTTGTTTAAAAAAAAAATGAATTAAGAACTAAAAATAGAGATGCCAAGGCCAGGCAATGTGGTGTACCTGCATGATGTAGGAGCTGGTAGACCCAATTGTGGTTCATTGTGCCCTTATCTGGAGCAAGTGTTGGTTGCTTGAGCAACTCCGGCTCAGAGGTGATGAGCTGGAGTCTGAGCTTTGAACAATACAACACAGCAGGGAGGGAGAAGAGTCACTTGGATGCCGTGTTTCAGGAGGCAATCACACCTGCTAGATTAATATCATCAAATTTGGTCAGTCTTCAGGATCAGGAGGATACGACTACAAGCAAGACAAGTAGAGCTGAAGGAGCCTCTGCACTTGAGCTTATCTAACAGCTTTGAGATCTTGCTCCCTGTGTGGACTAGAACAGGGCTGTAGGGAGGATGAGCAAATGGATCATAACACTATAGCACAAGGAACCATTCAAGAGGCAGGAGAAGAGAAATGTGATTGTAACTATTCCCCATGGCCAGATCGAGAGTCCCGAAGGCTGTGTTGCCTGGTGCCCGGGTTCAGGATATCTTACCTAGGCTTCAGAGGAACTAGGAGTGGGAGGGGAAAGAACCAATTGTTGTAGTTGCAGCTAGGGACTAAATTGAAAAGCAGAACCAAAAAGGGAATGATCTGTGAATTAGTAGCTGAGCCACAAACTCATTGGCACACAGTCAACAAGATTGTAGACACGTGGCTCAAAGTTTGGTGTGGGAGTAACTGGTTTAAATTCATTGGACATTGGCATCAGTTCTGGAGAAGGAGGGATTTATTCTGATAGGATAGGATCCGCCTGAATCCTGCTGGGACCTGGCAAATTGCATAACAAGGATTCAGATAGAGCTTTAAACTAAATAGTGAGGGAATGGGTTCAGTTGCATGGAAACTTAGAAAATCAAAGGTAAAGGAAGAGGTAGGATTGCTGGTTAGTGATGGTGTTGATTGTTACCATTAAAAAAGGGACAATGTGTGAATGTCATATTGTACCAGGAAACCATAAGTGTAAGGATGGGTCACCTTGTTAGTAACTTGGTAACAGGACAAGCATAAAGGCTTTGTATCTTAATATATGATGTATTCAGGTAAGGTAAATGAACTTATGGTGTAAACTGAAGTAAATTGAGCTCACAAGGACTTCAATAACCTCTGCTGGGCCCTCCGCCTCTTTAACTAGTTTAAAGTTTCGAGAACAAGTAATGGGACAGAGAGTCAAGAATCTAACTTCTAAGTACAGCAGATAAGGAGACAACTATGAGAAGCAGGGCAATCAGCGCATGAGTGTTGTACTTAATGGATGCTGTATACAAAATAAGGTAAACGAGCCTGTAGTGCAGATTAAATATAGCAGGTACGATGTGTATATCGAGAGTGGCTGCAAGGGATCAGGGCTAGAACACACGTTCTATCGAAAGGACAGGTAGGTGGGCAGAGGTCACCTTGTTAGTACAAATGAAACTAATTCAAAAGCAAGAAGTGATGTTGAGTTGAGGAACTGCAGAGGAGAAAAAGAAAAACCCTGATGGGTGTTATGGTCCAGTCTCCTAGCAACAGTCAGGATGTGGGGCAGAAAGTAAATCAGGGAGATAGAAATGTCATGTAAGAAAGGCACTATCACACAATCATGGGGGATCTTCAACAGGCAGGCAGACTGGGACAATCAGGTTGGTAGCAGATCCCAAGAAATTTGTGGAATGCGTATGAAATAATTTTATAGAGTAGCTTGTGGTAGAACCTATTAGGGAACAGGCAATTCTGGATTCGGTGCTGTGTAACGAGGCAGACTGGATGAGGGAGCTTATGGTGAAGGAACCCCTAGGGAGTAGTGATGAAAATATGATGGAATTCACCCTGCAGTTTGAGGG